ACCGAAACCGACATTGCATCATATGCGGTTCGGTCGGTTATAGTGAAAAAATTTTTGGTCGGTTTTTGGTCAAAACCGAACCGAAACGGACAAAACCAACCGCCGCACACCCCTAGGTGGCAGTATTGTATTTTGAACTCTGCCCAGATTACTTGCAAAGTTTAGTTAGTGTGTTTTACAAGCTTATGTCACGATCATTGGAGTAAACTTGCCTGTATATAAACCCTATTCTGAATGAAAGCAATGAGAGGGAAAATTTCGGTTTAAAACCAAGAGCTTAAACAATTCCTGCACTGCTTCTGTTCTTTCATTGGTCTTAGTCTTTAATGCTTCCGTGTTTGAACTGAGTTAATGCTGTTTTTATTATGTTTCATCAAATATCAATACAACAGGAAAAATTCAGAGGCAAATCCAACTCAGCTCAAGCTTGTTTGATGCGGCAGCATAGTCAGCCAACTTCAACAAAATGGGCTAATATCTATTATTCCTTTCCTGCTTGTTACATGAGTTATCGTTTATTCTATATATCTGAACCTAATCCTGTCCTCCATTGTTAATGTTTAGAGTTAAATATCCAGTGTATTTTGTTCCTAAGAACAGTTTTGTGCAACACCACTGTCTGAAAAGCATTGCAGGGCCAGGATAGTTTGATCTGCACACCACAGATCTATTTTTGATTTAGTGGTTTCTTCAATACTGATCGTTTCTAGCTGTCCAATGTGAACACTTCAAGATGATTCTTTTTCCAGCTTATTCATGTGTTTCACACTTGCACCAGATTAGCCCATCTTTCTGGTGTCCCCTTTCTGTTTCTTCGTTCAAATGTTCATAGATGATTGCCGTTGAGGTTGCACTGGCTCAAAAGACGTTCCCATCTTTAACAAGTATAGAAATATACGCCACTGTGAGGCTTCAAATAAAGAGCATAACATGGATTTGCTAAGGAAGGAAACATGTCTAGGACTAGTAATCTACCTTTGTGACAAGAGCATACAAGGGCAAGGTGATGTAACTGCATAGACATTGAACAATTACACTGCAGAAGCAAAAAACCAAGATGAAAATATACAAAACAAGTACTGATGGACACCAGGATACAGCATCAGGCCTCGATTATTTACCCCATTATGAGTCTAGTGATGATAAAGCCTTTTCTTCCCATGATGCATGAATGGAAACCATAGGTCCACTGAGAGTATACAAATTTAAACAAGTTAATACATTTACGAAACACACTAGAGAAAGATAGCTTATCTTCTTCCCAAAAATGCCATACCAAGATCCAGAAGAAGAATGCAATCTCAAAGGCATTCTGAAATAGAATAAAGTGAATAAAGTGAAGAATGATCCGAGGGCGATTAAACCAAAAGTATTCATCGGAAGGTTTTACTGGTGCTGCTTCCTGCCCCTGCAGCTTCTTCATTTCATCAACGTCTTGAGCTAAACGAACTATTATGTGCTCCAGCTTGGCTCCCACAAGAAGTAGAAGCTGTAAAACGCCATTTACGTAAAAAATGTTAAACTATGTGTATCTCAGTCCACAACCAGTTTAAATGATCCACTGAAATTCAACGAATTCACTTACAATTACAGGTAGAAATGATAACCAGAAATACGCATGCCATCCTGCTTGGGAATATAGAAATACTTAGAATCCCATTATTGTTAATTGTGACTTGTGAAGTGTGAAATGACAAATGCAGTTGATTCATTCAGATTGAAGGAAAACTTACCTTCCACATTCAATGTCAAAAACACCACCACAAACAGCCATTGGTACCAGCTACATACGACAGGATACTAGTGAGCAATATATTTCTTCAAATCAAACAGATCTTGGATTCAAAATTTGCTAAGATTTTAAGAATTACCTTATGCCAACAACATGTCTGAAGTCCCTTTCAAGTGACAATGTCATGTGATTGTGAAAATCAAATTCACGTACGTCAGGGCAATGGGTCTAAGACGGTAGGGAAAATAGGTAAGTAGCATGCTTTTTGTAAAGCACCGATACAAACAAAACTAAAAACCAAGCATGAAGTACACATTAGATGAGAACTTAACCATGATAAATCCTTCTCGAAGTGCTATGTACTCTGACAGGGTAACAGGGCTACGAAACTGTTTAAAAAATGACATCTGCCAAAAGAACATTGAAATCAATTGCCGTCATATGCTAAAGCTAAGTCATTATGCCTCGCAGGAAAACATCAAACATCTTATTTATTGTTAGCAACAATTGTAAACAAATGATCATATAGAATTTTTTTTTTTTTAACTTCTACCTTTAACAATTGTCAACAATGTTTTTTATTTTTAACTTAAAATTCCCTCAGCTAAATAACAGACTTGATACTGGAAAATGTCATAAGTTTGTGCCATTGCTGGTGTAATTTGTAAAAAGAAGAAATAACTATTATTTTAGATAAGTAAGAGTAAGATGAGCAGATGCATGTAGGATAGATGAAGAATATATGTAAAATTTTGTTACTTGTCCAGGAATAGCTGTAATACTTACGGTCCAGCTCACAACAGCTGCCTTTCTCCAATATCCCCATGCATGTTTCTCGAGTACTTTTTGAAGATGTTGGTTATGAGTGTCTATACCTGCAAAACAAGATGAATCTCAACTCTGAACCATAAAACTCCAAGAAACCAGAATGCTCTAATAATAAAAGATAACTAATAATCTTTGGAAACTCTATTGAATATTTACCCTTTTCTACTTTAGAAATCCTATCTTCCCAAGGTTTCCATTGGCGTATCTACATGAAATAAAGCTATAGATTTTGTTAGTTGAGAGTTGAAATCAATTACAGCAGTTCAATTAAAGAGCAGGCAATTTTGAAATTGATCTAGTACTCCCATATGATGAAATATTTAACCTTGTTTTTACTAATTTTTACCATTGCTATTGAGTCTGATTGCATGACTTCGAAGCCCAAATACTTATTTTTAACCGAAGTTGCAGTTATATTAAGGCATGACATCTTCTAAAACGAATAAGCTATCAAATTACAT